CGCCCCCACCACCCTGTGTCCTCAGGTCCATTCTCTACATCTGCGTCTTTATTCCTGCCCTGCTGCTAGGCTCATCAGTACCATTTTTTTTAGATTCCATAGATATGTGTCAGCATACGGTATTTGCTTCTCTCTTTCTGACTTACTCCACTCTGTATGACAGACTCTAGGTCCATCCACCTCACTACAAATGACTCAATTTCGTTTCTTTTTATGTCTGAGTAATATTCCATTGTATATATGTGACACAGGTTCTTTATCCATTCACCTGTTCATGGACAATTAGGTTGTTTCCATGTCCTGGCTATTGTAAATAGTGCTGCAATGAACACTGTGGTACCTCTTTTTTTTTTTTTTTTGATGTGGACCACTTTAAAAGTCTTTACTGAATTTGTTACAGTACTGCTTCTGTTTTATGTTTTGATATTTTGGTCCCGAGGCATGTGGGATTCCTAGCTCCCTGACCAGGGATCGAACCTGCATACCCTGCACTGGAAGGCGAAGTCTTAACCACTGGACCGCCAGGGAAGTCCCTACTAGTTGGGCTTTTTAAACAGCAATAGAACCCCTACATATCAAGCATCTACATGGAGTAAGTAAAAAGGTCTAAAATATGCCACTATTTCAAAAGTTTGTTAAAATAAATTTATACCAATTTAATTTATTAAAATATCTTATGGGCAGATTTCAATGAAACTGTTTCCCAAGATTCAAGATGAGATTCTTGAGAATAAACTATTTTCCAACGTAAAAACATAACTCTGAATATATACTCTTGACAAAAACACAAGGTTCTTTTAATTATTTTGGCCATAAAACCTTCAAGTAAGTTTAGATCAAAAAATTATAATAAACAAAATCAAATGTATACTCTAGGACAATTTCAAATAGCCAGTCTTCTCAAGTAAATATTTAATCCTCTGATATCAAAACTTTAAAAGCTCCAGTGAGATATACTTGCATATGTAAACACTAGTATCGTTTATTCACTATTGCGTTCAAATACTTAAGAGGGAAGTGACTGGCTAATACGAATGCAAAATATAAGGCAAGGTCAGAACCCCACTGCGATAGCTTTTCTCTAACAGTGCAAGGGTATACACGCAAGATCCCAAGAAGAGAAGATATATGTTTTCTGAGGTTTATCCAACATGGTAGTTAATGTTCATTTATCCTCTGTCAAATGCTGCTGTTTCTTTAAAAGAGAAAGTGAATTTTTTCTCCTTTGTCTTTAATTCTTTAATGGCAAGAGTTAAATGCCCAGCCCTAAGTATGTTAAGTGTTAAGTAGAAATCTGCCATTAGAACTTTAAAACTAATGCTGCTTAAATGTTATTTGCAGTAAGCAGGTTACATTTGTTGTTAAAAATATTTTAAAAATATAAATTAAGAGGAACTTTAAACTATGAGAAACCTATGCCCCCAAAACTATTTGTATTTATACCCATCCTTCTTGCCAATGATTTGGACTATAGTAAAGCAGACATAAGTAATTATTTTTTAATACTTCACAAAAATAAGGATAGATTATCTGTGTAATCTGGATATGATTTTAACACTGAGTTGAGAGATGAGTCCCCTATTTTGTAGAGAAGATTTTGCATGTGATTGCTAAGTAATTTCCTAGTTAGGGTAACTTGGGCAGCTTACAAGAATATTTGTTTCATACAGATACCTTTATCGAGATGAAGGAAGAGAACATTCTAAGAATATCAACATACTGAGGTGTAGCTTACCATTGTGGTATAAAATAGAGGTCCAAAAAGGAGAAAACTTATGTGCGTTGATGAAGTGGGGTGAAAACCGTACCTTTAGAAATCAGTCTTAGAGTACTGAAAAAGCAAAAATAACACAACCCTTATATTAACATAAAGCTCTCAAGAGATATGAGATTACTTAGTAATTAACAAGGAAAATTATTTGAGGCATATATATTTCTAAGACCCTTTAAAAATAATTAGTAACAATAAAATTCATTATATGACAATCTATACACTCATTGCTGAAAAGCTGTAACTAGGTAGGGCAAAATACAGTTTGCAAGCTAAAATCATTACTCAGTTTCTTAAAAATGTTTAACACCCAGGAATGTTTTTTAATTTCTTCTATAATCACAGTTGCTGCTTTCATTGTTACTCTGGATTATTTTAACAGCCTGCCCTCTGGCCTTGGTCACTGCACAGTTCACTTTACAAATCATACATTTCATCATACCTGCTGATAAAAGTCCTCTAATGATATTCCCCCCCCCCCCACCCCGTGCTCGCTTCGGCAGCACATATACTAATGATATTCCCCCAAATGCCCCAGGCTACATTTTCCAATGCAGCTCCAATTCTTCCAGCCTTTCACCTCTTCAAGCAAACAAGATACACTCCTGAAGAACCTCATTCCTCTAACACACAAGCTCTCATCGTGGCTGCACAAGACAGTAACCTTGGGAACCTTTAAAAAGTGGGATACCCATGCTCCACCCTCCAGAGATTCTCATTAATTGGTCTGGAGTAGGGTCCAGGGATCACCACTTTTGGAACTCCCTAGGTGATTCAAAGGTGCTGCCAGTTTAACTCGACTGCTATATCCTCTCTGCCTCCCACAGAAATAGTATGTTTGCTCTGAGAGTGATGCTAAATAAAGCTTATTTTTAATCTAATTCTTTACCTAACTCCTTGTAACCACCCGTGTCTATACACAGGTGAGCACATCTTTAAGCGACAGAAAACACTATTTTCCGTGTTAAATTGTTTTGGTTCGCTTTGAGTGAACCCAAAGCTTAAGTTTTGCCAGTTCAGGTTTGAAAAAAAAAAGAGGGGAGGGGGTGGAAAAAACAGGAAAAACCCCACAAACGACCGAAAAAGACAAGCACCATACAGGTTCCAGGAATAATCATTTAAAAAACGAATAAGACAGTAATCCTACTCTAGAAGAGCTCATGAAAGATTTAAGATGAATTTACGGTGAAAATTTTCTGACAATTGAATCTAAAGATGAAGATACACTAGGTAGAGGCGAAATGTGATGATGACTATCTCTTGTCACTAAATTGCGGGGGATGGTGGAGAGAAAGGCTTAGTGAATTTAAATTAAGTACTAAAAAACCCAATAACCACTTACAAACCAAACATTCTGACTGTATACAGAATTTACTAGAACCCTGGAAGAAAACCATTGTAATTATCACCGTCTTCATTTTACAGAATAAGGCTCTCAGAACTAGTGACTTTCCCATGATCACACTAGACTGGAATTCAGACCTCTCTTTTTAATATTAAGATTCTTTCTCCTAAATCTTACAACCTTCCAGACCACTCAATCCAACACCCATTTTCAGATTTTCTTTTTTTTTTCCGGTACGCGGGCCTCTCACTGTTGTGGCCTCTCCCGTTGCGGAGCACACGCTCCGGACGCGCAGGCTCAGCGGCCATGGCTCACGGGCCTAACCGCTCCGCGGCATGTGGGATCTTCCCGGACCAGGGCACGAACCCGTGTCCCTTGCATCGGCAGGCGGACTCAACCACTGCGCCACCAGGGAAGCCCCATTTTTAGATTTTTGAAACCAAACATTTAAATGCCTCGATTCTGCTCAGACTAATAAATTTTTTTTTCTTAATTCTGACCTATTTTTACCTCATGGTTATCATGATGTAAAGTACCATGATGTATGAGTATCGTACACGGTACTCAATATGACTCCGAAAATCGCGCTTATCACTTGGGAGTCCTACTTCATTTGGTACGCAGCCCCTCCCTGGTGGTGGTTATCTGAGATGGCTTCCAGCGGCAGCTATTCGCCAAGTTTATTTCTGAACTCCCGAGAACCACGGCGAGGACCAGTAATCAATTCTGAATGTCGCCATCAATCCCACTTATTTCCCCGATCGACGTGAGTCTCCTCCAACTGCTCAAGCATTTGTTTACAACTCAGACTTTACCTGAAAAACGGCCCAACTCCACAGCGCAGCGAACCTTTATTCAATATGGACACCGAGAACCCCGCCCCCAAAGAAGAGCTACGCGCAATTCTTGCGAGTTTCCGGAAATACCTGTAACTGGAACCCAAGGGTCAAAACTAAGACGAAAAGCGTGGCTTGGCAGCACCGCGAGAGGCAACGGAGGGACCGCCGGGAGGGCGGCTGGCTCGACCCGGCCCACCGCGTCTCCGGGGACACCGCCTTCCTCCCTCGGGCTCCGGGCCCCGGAAGCGGCGAAAAGCCACTCGGGAAGCCGCTCGCTCACCTCTGACCCCACCCCGAATCTCGCGCGCCTACCCCGTCCCCCGCAGGCGCGCCACGGCCACCGGCCGCAGACCACCTGTGCGGGCCTCAGCCTCAGGATATCGCCGCTGGCTCGGCCAGAAGGCGACGCGCTGCCGGCTGCGCGCCCGCCCACCGCTCGCTCCGCTCGCTCCGCTCGCTCCGCACGCCCCCTTGCTCGCGCGGCGCCACAGCTCCGCCGACCGCCTGTTACGGCGCCCGCGCTTCCGATTGGCGCGCTGGGCGGGCTACCGCGGGCGGAAGCGGTAGAGGTGGGAAGGCGGGGCCGGGGCCAGGAGGCTCGACGCCTGGATGCTCTCGCCTGGGACTGGTCCTCGCGAGGCCTTTTGTGACTAAGGCCGGGTGGTGGGGCGAGGCCCACGAGCGGTTTCGCTGGTCCGGCATCCAGGTCCGTAAAACGAGAGGTAGCGTGTGGCTCTTTGTGAGGTAGGGAGCCCTGTTTAATTTATACAGTGAAAGAAACTTGGAACAAGCTTTCCTTGCTCAGCCCATCCTCATGAAAGGGAAAGACACCATTCCTGTATTTACTAGTGTAGGCCTTGCAGCCTCATAGTCTATCAATCAAGTGCCAATGAATTTAATGCCATAAAACAAAACACCTCACTGAAGAGTTGTAAAGATTCAGGAACGGAATAACCAGAGCACATTGCAATGTCTGATTGTAATTCTGCACCTTTAAACAACTTTGGTTGTTGGGTTATAAACTTTTAAAAAATGATTATTGAAGTGAAGCTCACAGAATGTGAAATGAAACACTTTTAAGTACACAATTCAGTAGGCTTCAGTACATTCACAGTGTCGTGCAACCACCAACCATACTGGTTCCAAAACAATTTCCTCACCCCTGTTAAGCAATTACACATTATTCTTCCCTCTCCCAGACCCTAGCAGACCCCAACTGCTTTCAGACTTTAAGGATCTATCTAATCTGGGTATTTTCACGTAAATGGAATATGTGACCTTTTTGCATCTGTCTGCATTCACATAACATGATGTTTTCCAGGTTCATCCACCTTATAGCAAGTATCAGGACTTCATTCTTTTTTATGGCTAATATTGCATCTTATTTGTGTGTACATACCCCAATTAATTCATACATCCAGCGATGGACATTTGGGTTGTTTACACATTTGAGCTATTGTGAATAGTGCTGCTATGAATATTTGTGTCGAAGTATTGTTTTGAGTCCCTGTTCTCAACTCTTTCTGTTATATACTGTTAAAGAAACCTGGAATCTGACAGTAATTCAAGCGGTAAAAAAAAACATTTTATTCAGGAACTATTGCAGTAGGGAGAAGAGACCTTAGTATAGAACTGGGTTCAGATACAAAAGCAGCATAGACAAGTAAGGATTTATAGCCAAGGTGGAGCGAGGAAACAGTGGGTGGAAATTTCCTAAAAGGAAATATCAGGTGTAAGGGCTAAATTCTGGCCAAACCAACTTGAAAGGATTCTTAACTGAAGGCAGACCAGGATGATCAGCTATTAACGGTGGGGGTATGAAGAATCCGATCATGAGGGTGATCAGATACCCGGGTAGGGGTTCTCTCTAAACTGACCTAGCTGGATTCTTGCTACAACTGGTTGATGCAGACCCCACAAGAACGATACTAAAGTAGAGGCTAAGAGGGCTTAGAGGAGCCTGACTAAAGTTTAGTCAAGGAGAGAGTCTTTGTCAGTACCCAGGAATGGAACTGCTGGGTCATATGGTAATTCTGTGCTTAAATATTTGTGCAGTCAGTAAACTGTTTTCCACAGTGGCAGAGACATTTTACATACTGATAGCAATGTATGGCAGTTCCAGTTTCTCCACATCCTCACCAAAACTTTCGTCTTGTTTTGTTTTTGATCATAGCCATTCTAGCGCGTATAAAATGGTATCTCGTTGTGGTTTTGATTTGCAGTTCCCTGATGGCTAATGATATTAATTGAGAATCTTTTCATGTTCTTATTGGCCATTTGTATATATTCTTTGGAGAATGTCTATTCAAGTCCTTTGCCCGTTTTTAAATTGGGTTGTTTGTTTTTTGTTGTTTAAGTTATGAGTTCTTTATATATTCTGGATACTAGACCCTTATCAGATATATGATTTACAAATATTTTCTCACATTCTGTAGGTTGTCTTCACTTTCTTGCTAATGTTTTTTGATTTTCAAACTTAAATTTTTGATGAAGTCTAATTTATCTATTTTTTTCTGTTGTGGATTGTGATTTTGGTGTCATATTTAAGAATCCATTGCCAAATCCAAGGTCATAAGGATTGTTGAAAACCATCTCTGCACTTCGTTTTACACAAAGCAGAAAGTGAGTTTATCACAAGGATTTCAACCTGCAAGCCAAGAAACTTGAGGCTATGGGAGCGACGAGTTCTGAGTTGCTCACAGACTAAAGAGTGTGTATAGGGTAAATGCTGAAGTAATTTGGCTTTTTCAGCTGATCCTTATTTGGATCAGTGTAGTTGTGTCAGGGAACAAGGAAGTCCAAAGAGAGCATGAGCAGACTTGGTCTTTGGGGATTGGCTGGCATCCTCTGCTGACTTCTGAGGAGGGCTGTAAATT